TGTCTCTTGTCCATCTTATCATGGAGGTAAATGTCAAGTGTATGGTTGTTTCTATCTCATACAGAACATGGTAGCTGATGTGAAAATTTACACTTTACATTAGGGTTCTCTTTAACTTTTGTTGATGAATGATAATGAATTATGAATACCAGATTAACATATTTAAAAACCATTGGTTAAATTCATTATCTTGTTTTGGTCACAAGACTAGTTGACCGATATCCAAACCATGATGAATTGATATAATAGTTCAATAATGTTTATATAACTTTAAAGAAAATAAGATGTTTGACTCGCATAATGATTGGCTAGAATGATCATAGGAGCGATCATGGCTGCAGTTAGAGCTGTCAGAAAATACCAGTTTCATGAGGTGTGTGTTTGTTTCCCTCTTTTGACAGTCACGGCATTACATGCAACAGGTAGTGAGCTGTCTGCAGTTTTGGTCTTGTTGTTGTGTTTCATTAACTATCCTGCAACTTTTAGCTGCCACAGCTGCTCTTCCTCCACTACTTTCATCAGGTATAGTATCCAGCCCCATAGTTTTAACCCAGTGCTGCTGGGGATGGGATGTATGTACATGCCATGCCCACTGTGAGTTTAGTTTATTAATTGTATTTACACATAGCTGGGTCCACAAAGTCTTCGTGGGGGGGGGGGGGGGGGGGGGGGGGGGGGGGGGGGGGGGGGGGGGGGGGGGGGGGGGGGGGGGGGGGGGGGGGGGGGGGGGGGGGGGGGGGGGGGGGGGGGGGGGGGGGGGGGGGGGGGGGGGGGGGGGGGGGGGGGGGGGGGGGGGGGGGGGGGGGGGGGGGGGGGGGGGGGGGGGGGGGGGGGGGGGGGGGGGGGGGGGGGGGGGGGGGGGGGGGGGGGGGGGGGGGGGGGGGGGGGGGGGGGGGGGGGGGGGGGGGGGGGGGGGGGGGGGGGGGGGGGGGGGGGGGGGGGGGGGGGGGGGGGGGGGGGGGGGGGGGGGGGGGGGGGGGGGGGGGGGGGGGGGGGGGGGGGGGGGGGGGGGGGGGGGGGGGGGGGGGGGGGGGGGGGGGGGGGGGGGGGGGGGGGGGGGGGGGGGGGGGGGGGGGGGGGGGGGGGGGGGGGGGGGGGGGGGGGGGGGGGGGGGGGGGGGGGGGGGGGGGGGGGGGGGGGGGGGGGGGGGGGGGGGGGGGGGGGGGGGGGGGGGGGGGGGGGGGGGGGGGGGGGGGGGGGGGGGGGGGGGGGGGGGGGGGGGGGGGGGGGGGGGGGGGGGGGGGGGGGGGGGGGGGGGGGGGGGGGGGGGGGGGGGGGGGGGGGGGGGGGGGGGGGGGGGGGGGGGGGGGGGGGGGGGGGGGGGGGGGGGGGGGGGGGGGGGGGGGGGGGGGGGGGGGGGGGGGGGGGGGGGGGGGGGGGGGGGGGGGGGGGGGGGGGGGGGGGGGGGGGGGGGGGGGGGGGGGGGGGGGGGGGGGGGGGGGGGGGGGGGGGGGGGGGGGGGGGGGGGGGGGGGGGGGGGGGGGGGGGGGGGGGGGGGGGGGGGGGGGGGGGGGGGGGGGGGGGGGGGGGGGGGGGGGGGGGGGGGGGGGGGGGGGGGGGGGGGGGGGGGGGGGGGGGGGGGGGGGGGGGGGGGGGGGGGGGGGGGGGGGGGGGGGGGGGGGGGGGGGGGGGGGGGGGGGGGGGGGGGGGGGGGGGGGGGGGGGGGGGGGGGGGGGGGGGGGGGGGGGGGGGGGGGGGGGGGGGGGGGGGGGGGGGGGGGGGGGGGGGGGGGGGGGGGGGGGGGGGGGGGGGGGGGGGGGGGGGGGGGGGGGGGGGGGGGGGGGGGGGGGGGGGGGGGGGGGGGGGGGGGGGGGGGGGGGGGGGGGGGGGGGGGGGGGGGGGGGGGGGGGGGGGGGGGGGGGGGGGGGGGGGGGGGGGGGGGGGGGGGGGGGGGGGGGGGGGGGGGGGGGGGGGGGGGGGGGGGGGGGGGGGGGGGGGGGGGGGGGGGGGGGGGGGGGGGGGGGGGGGGGGGGGGGGGGGGGGGGGGGGGGGGGGGGGGGGGGGGGGGGGGGGGGGGGGGGGGGGGGGGGGGGGGGGGGGGGGGGGGGGGGGGGGGGGGGGGGGGGGGGGGGGGGGGGGGGGGGGGGGGGGGGGGGGGGGGGGGGGGGGGGGGGGGGGGGGGGGGGGGGGGGGGGGGGGGGGGGGGGGGGGGGGGGGGGGGGGGGGGGGGGGGGGGGGGGGGGGGGGGGGGGGGGGGGGGGGGGGGGGGGGGGGGGGGGGGGGGGGGGGGGGGGGGGGGGGGGGGGGGGGGGGGGGGGGGGGGGGGGGGGGGGGGGGGGGGGGGGGGGGGGGGGGGGGGGGGGGGGGGGGGGGGGGGGGGGGGGGGGGGGGGGGGGGGGGGGGGGGGGGGGGGGGGGGGGGGGGGGGGGGGGGGGGGGGGGGGGGGGGGGGGGGGGGGGGGGGGGGGGGGGGGGGGGGGGGGGGGGGGGGGGGGGGGGGGGGGGGGGGGGGGGGGGGGGGGGGGGGGGGGGGGGGGGGGGGGGGGGGGGGGGGGGGGGGGGGGGGGGGGGGGGGGGGGGGGGGGGGGGGGGGGGGGGGGGGGGGGGGGGGGGGGGGGGGGGGGGGGGGGGGGGGGGGGGGGGGGGGGGGGGGGGGGGGGGGGGGGGGGGGGGGGGGGGGGGGGGGGGGGGGGGGGGGGGGGGGGGGGGGGGGGGGGGGGGGGGGGGGGGGGGGGGGGGGGGGGGGGGGGGGGGGGGGGGGGGGGGGGGGGGGGGGGGGGGGGGGGGGGGGGGGGGGGGGGGGGGGGGGGGGGGGGGGGGGGGGGGGGGGGGGGGGGGGGGGGGGGGGGGGGGGGGGGGGGGGGGGGGGGGGGGGGGGGGGGGGGGGGGGGGGGGGGGGGGGGGGGGGGGGGGGGGGGGGGGGGGGGGGGGGGGGGGGGGGGGGGGGGGGGGGGGGGGGGGGGGGGGGGGGGGGGGGGGGGGGGGGGGGGGGGGGAGCTCCTTGGTGGCTGAACACTCATGGAGTCATCTGTGTAAACATATTTCACTAAACATAATAGTGAACATGCATTTACCTGGTGGCATTGGGTTGATATACACAAGCATCACTGGTGAGGAACTTTACTTGAAATAAGGTGCAAAAACTGGCGTAATTTGCATTAATTTAATCAAATTTACTTATCATAATCCTATAGTGATTGTGTGTGCTAGTGTTTGTACTAATGGTATTTATGTTTAATGTATAAATATAATGTTCTTTACATGTATGAATATAATGCAGTTAAAATTATGCATTTTTTAATTTTTGAAATTAAATGGTGTTTGCTTTTATTTTGTTTTAGGTGATGTTGTGTGGCTGGTGTGTGTCGTGATTCCCATCTTGTCAGTTTCCTTGGTAGCAGCTCCAACAAATCCAGCTGTCATGAATCAGGCCACAGGGAAAAATTCTGTAGTGCTTAATAAACAGGTGCAGTCTCCCATGTTTGTATATATTCATTTGTGTGTGAAAGAGAATGAATAGATCACTTTTACTACATGATATTGATTTGTATAAGTAAAGTCTACTGGTCTGAATATGTAATTTATGTGCAATAAGCAATGTATGTACGACAAGTAATTTACGTACGACTTTCTCCAGATGGTCCGTTATGTGTTCTTATATTACATCTGCAAGTTTGTTCCGTCTGTGGCTGTAATTTTGCTGTGTGGTGGATTAACACTTGCAAGTTTCTGCAAAAATATAGCAAGCCATCACAATTCCACCTGCACTTACATATATCCAGATGAAGTTCCTAGAATTTATAATAACAGGTACCATATATAAGACAAGTATTTCAGTTCCTCTTGTATTTAGTTGTATAGACAAGTACAATAAGATGCACATTTTGGTTTGTTAAAAATTAGAGGCTTTTTCTTTGTTCCTTGCATTATTTGTGTGAGATTCTTTCAATACCTCTATTGTACATACAATATTAGTGAATAGAAAATAACCTATGATAATTCCTTTTATTTATTTATTTTTAGATTTATATTTTTTTCTACGTACAGTATAGGTTTTTCATTTTTTAGATACGGGGGGGGGGGGGGGGAGTACAAATTGCCTGTAGTTATGAAACTGAAATCATTAATGTGGTACTAATTTTATTAAACAGATTACAGCAAATGATCTCCTTTTCTGTTTTCTTTCAGTACAAAGCTTGAGGAGCAGAGCTCATGGAAGGGATGGGGTGATCAGTACTTAGATTCCCTAAATGCAGTACAGAATGGTGTAGCTTTTCTCATTGTTCTTTACTTTTGTAAGTAATCAGTTAATATTCAAATGCCTTTATGATCTTAATCTGTTGAATACTGGGTGGCATCTTTGCCATGGTGCACCAAGCCCAGGTGCTTGATGGTGCTGTTTGACAGTCTCTATGTTCTGAGGACTAAGTAACTGTTTGCTTGTTTGGCCCTGCCAGCAGTCAGCCCTCAAAAGTAGGCCTATAGTCTCCTCTTTAGCCACTTTTTTTTTTTAAAGATCATATATGCTGCAGCACTGCCTGTTAGTCTGGATGGGAACCACCGCCTGAAGGTCACTTCCTGTTAATCAGGATGGGCCCTTACACAGACTGAATCTACTGTATTTAAATGAATAGTGGTTTTTAGAAAGTTATAGCTATAATTGTTCTCATGAAAATTTAATTGAATTAGTGATAAGAAAATAAAATATGTATGAGTGAAAAATCAATGTATCAGACAAAAAAAGCAGTAAGGTTATAAATAGTGATTACCATATACCATATGTATATATTTGATAGCAACATTTCATCTCTTGTCATTTCATGTACTTGTTGCCTAGTGGAAATATTTACACATTACTACTTTATTATCTATTTTTGATGTTTTACAATTTTTCAGGTATGATTTCCGTTTCATTTGTGCATCGCATGTACCAGTTATGGAGGAAAAATCCTCTGAAAAATAGGTGGTGGGCTTCCAGTGTCTTTGTAGTGTGAGTATTGCTCCATGATTTGAGAATTATACAACTGTATACAGCTGAATTTAATTGCAAAGTTCTCTGAATCATGTTTGATATTTTAAATAATAATATAAAGCATTCATAATTGCTACTTATGTAGAACAGGACAGAACACTTAATAGTCATTTGAAATTACATTAATGCTTGTAATATATATATAGCCAATTCTTATTGTGTTTTGCATATATTGTGGTAGTTATTATGTTGATATTTGCACATTAAAAGTGGGGGGAAAAAAGTGAGAATAGTGTAAATTCTTATCAGACTGACTTTTATTATTACAGACTAGTGCTGCAGGTGGTGTATGGAAGCATCTCTGCATCATTGTGTTCATCCTCAGAACCAAGTGGTCCTGGGTTAGCAGATATTCCATCATGGTTGTGGCTCATAGCATTTGTGTGGCCACTCCTTGTAATTCCTCTCAATGAAGTCATTAAAAGAAGAGAGATCAGGTATTTTTGGGAAGATTTGTTATTTGCACTTGTTTGCAACCAGTCAGCCAACTGCCCTCATCTGCATATATGTATTTTTTATTATTATTATTATTATTTCATGTCACATGTGTGTATTCTGATTTCATTATATTCCATAGTATAAGGCATCACAAAGCTCCTTACTTGTGTGTAACTGTTTTCATAATGTATTGGGATAGTGACCATTACTAACTTTCATGTTTTCTCCTTCACAGAGTCAATGTTCGATATCAGAAGAGAGCAAGACTGGAATTTGGTACAAAGCTAGGAATGAATTCTCCATTCTAATACTGCAGCTGTACAGAAAATGTATCTAGATATTAACAGGGATAATTTAAGAATTTTCTTATATGAAATGGATGTGTCATATATTTTGATAGATTGCCAAAAGCAATACATTTATATAGGACTTTGCACCTGAAAATAATTTTATAGTAAGAAAGGATATGAAAGATGTAATGGTTATCAAGTAGTTATGAATATAGATTGTTGTATGATTACTGAGGATTTTCAGCATGAAAATAAAATATTATTCTGGAAGTTTATATGACATTATGTACATGCACATTTACACATACACACACAATGAGACTTATGAACATACAAACACAGACTCTCACACATGCAGACACCTACACCTACACTTACACTCACACACATGCACACACCTACACCTACACTTACACATGCACACACCTACACCTACACTTACACTCACACACATGCAGACACCTACACCTACACTTACACATGCACACACCTACACCTACACTTACACTCACACACATGCACACACCTACACCTACACTTACACTCACACACATGCACACACCTACACCTACACTCACACATGCACACACCTACACCTACACTTACACTCACACACATGCACACACCTACACCTACACTTACACTCTCACACATGCACACACCTACACCTACACTCACTCACACACATGCACACACCTACACTTACACTCACACACATGCACACACCTACACTTACACACATGCACACACCTACACCTACACTTACACACATGCACACACCTAAACCTACACTCACACACACACCTACACTTACACTCTCACACATGCACACACCTACACTTACACACATGCACACACCTACACCTACACTTACTCACACACATGCACACACCTACACCTACACTTACTCACACACATGCACACACCTACACCTACACTTACACACATGCACACACCTACACCTACACTTACACTTACACACATGCACACACCTACACCTACACTTACACACATGCACACACCTACACTTACACACATGCACACACCTACACCTACACTTACACACATGCACACACCTACACCTACACTTACACACATGCACACACCTACACCTACACTTACACACATGCACACACCTACACCTACACTTACACACATGCACACACCTACACCTACACACACACCTACACCTACACCTACACCTACACACACACACATGCACACACCTACACTTACACACACACACATGCACACACCTACACCTACACACACACACATGCACACACCTACACCTACACACACACACATGCACACACCTACACCTACACTTACACACATGCACACACCTACACCTACACTCACACCTACACCTACACTTACACACACACACACATGCACACACCTACACCTACACACACACACATGCACACACCTACACCTACACACACACACACCTACACCTACACACACACACATGCACACACCTACACATGCACACACCTACACCTACACACACACACATACACACACACACGCACACACACCTACACTTACATGTATACATTTGGAACCACACACACACACACACACACACACACACACACACACACACACACACACACACACACACACACACACACACACACACACACTTTGATTCATTCTTTCTCTCTCTCTCTCTTACACTCAGATATTCAGTAAATGTCTTGCTTGTATATTGGGTTTTTATCATGTGCTATGTACATTCTGTATGTACATAATTTGTTCTTTAATTTATTTCATGTATCCTAATTTAAAATTA